TCCTGGCCAATTAGGGAGGCGGGACATTACCTGATTGGCCTGGAAGCCGGCTCCATGTTCCCTTGCGGCACTGCCGATCAGAGGAAATCTCCCTTTGGCCGGAAGTTCCAGTATCGGGGGGGTTGGTGTCGGAGCATTTGCTCGCCCAAACACTCGGTATCGGCACCGATTCCAATACCAGTATCAGTACCGGTGCCCTGGGGCGCTGCCGATTGGACAACAATGTATCTTATTTGTGTATCACTCGGCTGTAGATCCTCCAATCATCTCTGAATTGGTGTGGACACTGTCCTTCCTTCTGGAGGGAGTCTACTTGTGTTCCCCATGGTCCCTGTGGGTGTTGTAGTCACCGCTCCGAGCTATGGGATATGGTCCTGGTATGGTGGGGGTATACATGTTGGGATGTTCCTGGTATGGCGGAGGTATACATGTTGGGATATGTTCCTGGTATGGCGGAGGTATACATGTTGGGATGTTCCTGGTACGGCGGAGGTATACATGTTGGGATATGTTCCTTGATGTGCCTCGTACGGTGCAGGTATACATGTTGGGATATGTTCCTGGTATGGCGGAGGTATACATGTTGGGATGTTCCTGGTACGGCGGAGGTATACATGTTGGGCTATGATCCTGGTATGGCGGAGGTATACATGTTGGGATATGATCCTGGTATGGCGGAGGTATACATGTTGGGATATGTTCCTGGTATGGTGGAGGTATACATGTTGGGATATGTTCCTGGTATGGTGGGGGTATACATGTTGGGATATGTTCCTGGTATGGTGGAGGTATACATGTTGGGATATGTTCCTGGTATGGTGGAGGTATACATGTTGGGATATGTTCCTGGTATGGTGGAGGTATACATGTTGGGATATGTTCCAGGTATGGTGGAGGTATACATGTTGGGATATGTTCCTGGTATGGTGGAGGTATACATGTTGGGATATGTTCCTGGTATGGTGGAGGTATACATGTTGGGATATGTTCCAGGTATGGTGGAGGTATACATGTTGGGATATGTTCCTGGTATGGTGGAGGTATACATGTTGGGATATGTTCCTGGTATGGTGGAGGTATACATGTTGGGATATGTTCCAGGTATGGTGGAGGTATACATGTTGGGATATGTTCCTGGTATGGTGGGGGTATACATGTTGGGATATGTTCCAGGTATGGTGGAGGTATACATGTTGGGATATGTTCCCACACCAAGACTTGTAGGTCACGGGAAGCAGAATGCCATTTGCTATGGGTTGTTTATCACATGCACTCTTCAACCTGATTGGCTGCTACAGACTAGTGAGACCCCAACACCCGGACCAATAACATTCATAGGAAACTATTTTTAGCCACAATGACCTTTAATGGGAAGTTTTGGGGAGAGGAATTCAGACAATTTTTATTTATCCCGGTGGCAGGATCTCCTCACTTCCTGTTCAGGTGACCATGGCAACTGGCCAGGAAGTGATGGCTCCCGTCACATACTCATAGGATGGTGAATGTTTCAGGACGTGCTGTCACAATGTCTACTAGTGAAAGGGACACACAAGGCAACGGTCCCCCCATGAGACCCCCCCACAGCTACACCCTGTGGTAGAGCTCAGGTGACAACTCTTACTTGCTGGCATCATGAACACCCCGGGGCAGCCACAATGAAGAGGTCCGTGTAGGTCATGTGATGGCGTCAGAAGATAAAAGTATTGGCTCAGTAGTGGAAAGTTTACCTCGGAATCATTTATGGTTTACATTGCTCCAACCCCAAAAATGGCTCATCACACC